TGCTCTTTCTTCCAGATCTGCATTTCACAAAGACCATAAGAGCATCCAAAATTAATTACAGGAAAACATTGCTTTTTCCTACTCTAAAATGAAAGCAGCTAACATTTATGGAGCACCAACTACTGCCATGGATGTGTAATACCACAAACAGAAATGTTTTGGAGAAGGTGCAGCCAGAGTGCTCCTTAGAGGCAAGAGGGATGGTGAAGATTCATCTCACATACATTGGGCACCCTGCCAGGAAATCCTAGAAAAGGCCTTCATGCTAGAAAAGGTGGAGATCTAGTGAAAGAGAGGGAGACCTTCAACAAGACAGTGACTACAGCAGTGGGCTCAAGATGATGAAGATGGCACAGGATAAGACAAGGTTCAGATCAGTTGTTCATAAATCACTATTAGTCATACTTGACTTGATGATACATAACATCCTTACAATAGCCCAGGTAAAATAGGTATTCTTGTCCCCCTTCCACAGGTAAGGTTACGGAAGTTCTCAAAAGATGAATGGCTGGCATAAGGTTAAATTGTTCAGATAGTACTCAACATTCAAACTCATGAGCTTCCAGACCCACTTGATTTTGACTCTACCCCACTGTGCTGGCTCACTACAAGTACTTAGAAATCCACACCAACGTGGAAGGGGAAAAAAATGAAGAAAAACAAGAGCTTTTCCATTTTCTCTGCCCAGCTCCCACCCCAGAGGGGAGACCACTGGCACCGAGTTTCAGTTCCCTGGGCCCTAGGCCGCTGACAAGGGCCAAAGAGCTCCCTGATAGGTTAGGCCTGGCAGCTGCCCAGCAGACTAATGCTAACACAGCAATAGGTACAGGAAAGGGTCGAGAGTGGAAAAGCACCAGACGTGGAGCCGCTGAGTGGTGAGAAGTGATTCCTGCCAGGCTTGGACAGGATAACCCTGCACCAAAGCCACCTCCAGCACCACTAGGCCAGGAAGAGAGGGAGCTAGCAAATAGCCCCAGAGCCCCAGGCACATCCACTGACTAATGGGTTTCAGTAAATCGTGACTGTTAGGCCAGTCGAAAGAAGGTCACATGCCTCTTGGGTGAGTCAGCAAGTGTGGAAGAAAACCGGTCTGTGCCCTGGTTTGGCCCGGCAGCCACAACCTGCATGTGCCCACATCCACCAAACCCTGCTACTTTACTTAACATCATCTGAGCAGAGGCAAGGGAGCACGCGCTGCCCCGTCTTGTAGCAGCAGCTGACTTCAGCCAGCCCAGGAGGAAGATCTAGTGAGAACAGCAGGCTCACCGGAGGCAGAAAGGGAGGGTATGCCCTTTTATTTTAAAAAGGGCACAAAGCGAGACTGGAGGGAGGGAGGATTTCCAGAGACAGGACTGCCTCAGCCAGGCATGGTGAGAGGGTTTTTCTAAAACATCCAAAACTCCAAAAATGGCTTTGTCTGTGGGAAAGTTTTTTTGGGGTTTTATTTTTGTGTTTCTTCCTCAAGATGTTTTGCTGAGACGGATATTGAAGTCTGTGTGTACAAGATGCCCAGGAGTGTTTTGAAAGAAACTAATCCTGGAACCTCGTATTTGCCAGAAGTTGTTAACAGTACTACAAAAATGCTCATTTTAGCTTTCTCTACTTTTCTACCGACAGCATGTCATAAGGTCTGGTTTTACCACCATTTCCTCCCCCTTTCCCTTTTCCCTTTTAACTCTTTTGCACAGCCTACTTTACACTAGTTGTGCCTATTTTATTGTCTTAACAAATCTTTTCATTTATTTTGCTCACAACAAAAGACTATTATCTCAGATTTCAGGGACCCTTTTAAAGGTTGCAGATTGATAGTCCATACATATGTTAACGTGCTAAAGGTTTGTGTTTTTTTAATGAATTGCTAATATTTTAAAAAACAGTGGAGTGGGTTCTAGGGTAGTACAGGAAGTGAACATTTCTTTGTTGTTATTATGTGCCATCAAGTGACCTGCGACTCATAGCAACCCTACATACAACCCTAAACCCTACTCTATCCTGTGCTAATCTGTCTCCGACACACCTACCCCCCCCCATTACCTCTACTCCGAGTCAATCCATCTCATCGAGGGTCTTCCTCTCTTGCGCTGTCCCTCCACCCTCCCAAGCATGACATCCTTCTCCAATGACTGGTTCCTCCTCGCAATATGTCCAAAGTGTCAGATGAAGGTTCAGAATCCTTGCCCCCAATGACAGCCTGGTTTACCCCTCTCCAGTATGAACATGCTTGTTCTCCTAGCAGTCCATGATATATTCAACCCTCTTCTCCAGCACCATAGCTCAAAGGCATCAATTCTCCTTCTATCATCCCTAGTCATTGTCCAGCTTTCTGATGCATAGCAAGTGATTGCAAAGACCATGGCCTGTATCAGTCGCACCTTAGTCTCCATTTCTAATATCTCTTAAAAAACCTCATTGACGTTGAGTCATAACCTACTCATGGTTGATCTTCTAGAATTTCCTCAGACTGCAAACTGCACAGAAAGAGACTGCCCATCTTTCTCCCTTGGTTGATTCAAACCACATACCTTTGAGCTGGCAGTGTTATCTCCTTACCCACTAAGGCCACTAGAACTCCCTACCATCTTTTAGAAGAAGAAACTTCTAACAGTAGATGAGTAGCACAAATTGGAAGGCACTGACCAGCCACTTTCTCCCCATATGGAGGCCTGTGCTTTCTGGTGGACTTGACCACTTGGTAGCAGCCAGTCAATCCTTGATGCTGCCACACGATGGCAGCACTGCCTTGACAATGAGGTCAGCCCACAAAGCTGTGACTACAGAAGCTGAGGTTAACAGATCATTCAGAACCAGTAATCTTATCCTTTGCTTCAATAAGACAGTCATTCCCCATACACTCCAGATTTACTCCCAAAAAACAACAGCAGTTCATTTAAACAGTTCAATTGTGCTCCAACAACTGTGGGGGGAGGTCACCTGTTGGTCGGCTTCCTCCTGCTCAGGCCAGCTTTTTCCACTCTACAGCTAGCATGGCTAATAACATCCTCTCACTTAAAAATGGGCAATTAAGAAGCAAAGCAAACATCCTTCAGGTTTTCAAATGGCAGAATCCATTCTCCATCTAATGCTTTGCAGTTAGGTTAAGTATCAGGCAACTTCATGAGGCAGAAGTTCTGGTGTCCCTTACCACCTAAACAGCAACCTTAAAAGTGGTAGATGGCATTTTGCAGAACTCTTAGAACCCTTCCACAAACACACTCGCTCATTCACTGCTGCAGAGTCAGAACTGACTGACCCTCCACTGGATTTCAGGGCCTGTAAATCCCATGGGAGGAGAGTGCCCACCTCTCTACTCCTACCTACTCCAAAATGCAGAAAAAGCTTTCTATAGGACATTCATTGCAGTACTTCTACTAGTGAACAACCCCAAACCACCCCAATGTTCAATAGAAAAATTATAAAAAAACAAATGCTTTCTTCTACTTGATAGGCTACAGTTACGGTTTTATGCTATGAATCGTTTTTATGCTATTAAAAGCTACTATTATAAAAAAATGGTGAGATAATTATAAGAATAATCTGGAACCAAGAGTGTTTTGGGCAGTGGGCTGGGATAAGAGGAAGGGAGGGAGAAAATGTGCAGCAATGAATAAATAAAAGAGAAAAGGAAATCATGTGATAAGATAAAAAAGTTACTATAATATGAAAAAGGAAAATAAAACTTCATGTTTAGTAATGACCCAAACCAAACCTATCTCATTGTCAACAGATCAACTCCAGCTTATAGTGACCCCGTAGGACAGAGCAGAAAAGGCTGGAGGTTTTCCAAGGCCATAAATATTTATGGAAACAGACTGCCCCATCTTCCACGAAGAGTGGCTGGTTGAGTTGAAACCAACCTGTTGATAAGCAGTCTCATGCTCTAAGCCCTGTGCCAATAGAGCTCTTCAGAATAATGGCAAATGCCTAAAAAAGAAAAACTATGCAGCAGATTAACTAAAGTTAACAAAATGTTAACAATGGTCATATTATAGTGCTGGGAGTACAGATATCCTTTTTCTCATCCCTATCCAATTTTTTTCAAGTGCAGATTTTAACAGGGGAGTGTGTGTGTGTGTGTGTGTGTGTGTGTGTGTGTGTGTGTGTGTTAGAGAGAGGTAACCTCCCCTGGTTACTGCAGTTTAGACTTTGAAAGGCCCTGTGATCCTCTTGTTATCATAATAAATAGGCTCTTGGGAACCTTTGCACTTCCAGGATTCACAACTACACTGGTAAACAACACTTATAGGGCCCCAAGAGTCCTCAGTTAAATGCTGCTATGATCCTACCCTGAGTGTCTGCTCTAGCATCAGATACCCCAAACAGCATCTACAAGATAGATCATCAAAATGGTTCTCAGAGCTGGTTTAATCATGTTTCACACAATACAGTGATGAGGGGTAGAAGATGGTGACTGTTTTCAAGTAAAGTCACCAGGCGGATGTGCCTCCCTGTCCCAAAGTGAATATCCAAGCACAAACACCAGTTTTCTTCCCAAGGAACCCCATTCCTGAGCTGGGAAGACAGGATTTCCAGAAGAACTTAAAGGAAAGGGCAAACTAGTGACAGGAATCAAGTAGAATTTCGAAATCTTCTCAGCACAAACTGGAACTAGAAAGGTAGGAATCCCTTCTACAGGTAACATCCAAGCCCCAGCCATCTCCATGTGAGGTCAATTCATAATAGTCACTGATGGGACAGAGATGGTAGCCCACCCCCTCCTAGTAGTGTGCACATAAGCTTAAGCAACTGCGGCATCTGCCACAAATGAAGCCTAAGCAGATGCAGCCTCCAGGCCAAAGCCTATAAGGGCCTATCTCTTCACGGCCCCTCAGCTGCTAGTGGGTCTGTCTGACCCTAGAACGACAACTTGTATATGTGTGTGTGTAGTGCAGGAGGGCTAGGCAACAACAACGTAAATCTGAGATGGGGTCTGTGGCTGAGTTGACATGCTGGCAGGTCCAGTTGTGGCCCATGGAAGGGCCTGCAGGGCCCCATTTTCTCCATTAATTCTTCTCTGGGCGGTTTCTGTTCAGGACTGCTTTGGGAGCAAACTCCAGCTTGTCCTTAAGGCTCACCACCTGAGTGTGGTCCTTGCCTAGCAGCTCATCCAGTTTGCGGTCTTCTCGGCGCTCTGAGATGCTCTTCTCCTCCTCCACAGGCTGTGGATCCTTTCCCCGGATGAACCATTCCAGGTGGTAGCCCACAGCCCCGACCACAAAGGCCACTGGGAATGTGACGTAAGGTGCATAGGTACGTACCACGGTCCAGAGCACAGGCCACATGGCATCTGCAGAAGAGGACAAGGCAGGATTAGGCAAAACACAGTGCCTCTTCCCCCACCAAACATGGATTAGGTGGGTACCAAGGATCTCCACTTATCAAGCAGCCAATTTACTGAGCATTCATCATCTAATATAGACCAATTACAGGTATATGTTGTTTATTCAACAGCTGGGTCCCTGAAACAACCTAGGAAGTTCTGAAAGATTCAACTGTTGCGGAACAGAGGGAAGAAGTATTCATTTAATCTCCTAAACTCTTGACTGTCACAGTTGCGGATATGGCAGTATTCCCCAATGAGGGGACCTCTGAGCCTTATTCAGTAGAACTCCATGACAGCTGCTGAATCCAGCACCTACCCACCCCCCAACCGCTGGCTGACATTTCAAGGAAAAAGGAGTCTTTTCTCTGCTTGACAAAATTTCTCCATGAGCACAACCAGGTACTCATTCCCTCACCCCAAGAACAATCCTAACATGCCTATGACCCCAACATAATGAGATGTTTCCCCCACGTAACATGTATGACAAAACACCCACTGCTGTCCAGCTGGTTCTGACTAATAGCAAAGCTCCATCAGGCTTGTGAGGCTATAATGCTTTTCAGGAGAGTGCTCATTGTTCTCTTACAAAGAAGCTGGATTTGAACTGCCATCCTTTGGGTTAGCAACCTGATGCATCTCACTACCTCATCAGTGCTCCTCAGCATACAAGAAGTATTCTTTTATTCTCTGCCCCACAATTTTTATTTTTTTAAAAAACAACTGTATAACAGAGTATACACATTTTAAAGGCTTATCAGAAAAGCTGAATAATAAGAATTGCTGAGTCCCAGACCAAGGTCTTGCCCCAGCCAGGACTGGGATCCTGCAGATGAGGCTTGAGCCAGCTGCACCTTAACATGTAGGTGGTGCTGTCAGGACGCAAGGGTCCCTAAGCCGGCCTCTCCCCAGGGACGAGGAGTATTTTGAAATAGCCAAAACTCTACTCCACTGCCCTACTATATGGATTTCCTATAGTGTTTTTTCCTATTCTGAACTTAGTTTTTCTAGTATGGTGAGAGACAAGCCAATGCCTTATAAATGTGCTGGGTGAACTACTTTCAAAATACTCTCTTCATCCCAACCCATACCTTCATCACATGTACATAACAGTCTGAAGATATTACAAATCCACTATACATACTCTGGACACCTAAACCAAAAATGAAACCTAAGCTACTGACATCGATTCAATTATAATCCTGTGGGCAAAGCCAAACTGGCGCATCAGGTAGCCAAGACTGCAATCTTTACAGAAGCAGAGTGCTACACCTTTCTACTGAAGAGTGGCTGATAGATTCAAACCGTCAACTTCTTGGTTACCAGCAGAGTGCCAAACAACTGGCCACCAGAGTGGACTTGAAAATAAACAGTGGAATGGCTCTGGGGCAGCATCAAGCATAACACAAAAGTAAGGCTGAAAACACACCCAACAGTGACCCTAATAGCCATTTAGTTGCCAATGATAATTTCCATTACAAAGATAGGAACTCTAAATGGTAAAGTCACTTGGAGTTACACACCGCCAACCCATTAACAAAGATGATTCATATTCATCATAATAATGATAGCGACCATTTACTGAGGGCTTACCACATGCTAAGAGTCCCTGGGTGGTACAGTTAACATGCTCAGCTGCTCAGTGAGAGTGGAGGTTCTAGTCCATTCAGTTGTTATTAGGTGGAACCAACTGACAGCTGACCCGCTAGAGGGGTTTCGAGGCTGTAAATCACATAGGAGGAGAATGCCCAACTTTCTTCCTGGAGCAACTAGTAAATCCGAACTGAGTACTTTTAAGATGGTAGCACCATTCTTTAACCACTAGGTCATTAGCGATCCATTAAGAGGCAAGTCAGAAGAAAGGCTTGGTGATCTATTTCCAAGAGGAAGTCAGTCATTAAAAACTCTATGGAGCTTTCCATAGCCACAAACCTCGCCCCCCCCCAAAAAAAAACAAAAACAAAAAAACCCTCTATGGAGTTTCATAGGCGCCAAACATCTCAGAACCACGAAGGTCGGATGAACCCTTGAAACTACTTGCCCTGAGAACATTCTTAAACCTTAAGCTAAAAACATTTCCCAAAGTCTTCTTAAAACAAACCAAGCCAATTTTGTTTAACTAGCAAAAAATGTCTGCTCCAAACATTATGCTTCTTTAAGAACTGTCTCTATGAGCTCTGGTGGTGTAGTCTGGAACAAGTTGTGATGTTAACCCAAAAGTGGCTCAACTCCATGGGAGGGCAGAATCCTCCTGTTAAATTTGTAGCCTTGGAAACCCAATAGAGGATCAGTATGAGTCAACAAACAGGTTTGTCCTAGACAGGATGAAAGCAGGCTGCTCCTTGGAGGCAAGGATTCTGAAGCCATCATCTGTCATATTTTGGACATGTTGTAAGGAGGGGCCAGACCTTGGAGGACATCATGCTTGGGAGGGTGGAGGAACTGCGCAAGAGAGGAAGACCTGAGATGGATTGATACAGTGACCGGGGTAATGGGGGGTGGGTGTGTCAGGGACAATATAGATTAAAAAAAAAGATAGAGCAGTGTTTAGAGCTGTTGACATAGGGTCGCTATACATAAGGCAGGCAGGCAGGCGACTTGAGGGCAGATAACAAGAAGAATAACAACAAAGAGTCAAACTGGGTTTGACGACTGTGGGTTTGAATTTTGACATGGGCTCAAACTAACAACAGCAGCTACTGGAAAGATGAGATAGAAACTTAGGGGGCAATGAATTTATGTTAATGAAGCAGGAACAATTCAAAAAAGGTGAGAACAGTTGCCAAGCTCAAGAATATAATTAATATCACTCAATGCAGTAACTGTATTTTGCTGTGTATATCCTTAACAAGTAAAGTTACTTTTCAAATTAAGTTCATTTAAAAATGAAAAGAAAGACCTAGTGGTAACAAGCTGCAATCTGAGAGGGATACGGTTCAAATCCACCAGATGCTTTGCTAGAGAAGGAGGGCAATCTCTTCCTGTACCAGTCAGATCTGATTTGACTGTACACACACAAAAATTAATAAAATTTAAAAAAATAAAATGAAAAGAAAGAAAATCCTATGAAACACAGCTTTACTCTGATACATGGGATCACTATCAACAGAAGTCATCTCAACTGCAACTCCTTGGTTTCTTTTGTGCCAGGCCTTGGGTTAAGCACTTTACACGCACTGCACCATTGAAGTTTCATGTCCATTCTGTGAGACAGGTAGTTTATAATGAGAGGTTTAAGTAACTTGTCCAGAATTTTCACCTAATTTTCAATGCAAGTGTTTGGCTAACTCAGCTGTCTCTGCTCTGAAGCAAACAATCAAAAGACCGTTAAGTCAGCTCTCTTTTTGGTTCCAATTTTCTCTTTGGAGGAATCCCAGAATTATGTGGATTGAGGATTATTATGGATCATCAATCCCAGAGTTTTGTGGACTGAGGATTATTATGGACCATCAGTGGGGGTGTGGACTCAATGAACCAAAATACCACAGCAGCTATAATATTCCTCTCCTGACTTTTTGTCTCAGCACCAAACACTATGCTTCACACAGAAGTCATCACCTGTTCCTCCTAACACTTCTGTGAGGCAGGAAAAAAGAGACTAGAATTTTGTCTAAGGCCACACAGGCTCAGAGACATGTTAACTTACATCACATGAAGCAATGGAGCCAGCGATTTTTTCTTTTTTTAATATGGGTCTCTGCAATTTAAAAGTCTGTGTTATTCCTCATAAGAACATAATGCAGATTTGCACACGGGGGTTTTGTACAAATCCTGGGCTTGGGACCAAGCTGCCTGCCATTTCCCCCATAAGTTTAGTACTTCATTATGAAACCTCCCTCTTTGCAAACTGAAAAGCTACAGAGATTTGTGAAATTCTAAGAGTTTGAAATTAAAAGAGGCACTCCTGAGAAATATCAAAACTAGTAATGCTTCTCTATTTTCTTTCCTGGTTTTTAAACAAGTTCCCTCTTTCAAAGTAAACAATGTCACTAAACACTAACTCCCCATTCAGATTTCTAATCCATTAAAACATGCTGAACATGAATTCACAAATGTCATTCTCTCTTTCACAGGTAACACATTCTGCTCACATTCTAATCATTCCTAAATATGTCCATTCATTCATTCATGCAACAATTTAGGCCACTTTCTTTGTGTCAGGACATATCCTTTGTATTTCTCCTAAAACTTTAATCTCCAAGAGTAAAGGAAGAACTGTCTGTGCCATTTACCATGGTGTCTGTCCTATCCTCCGCTCCTCCAGTCCCACCTGACAAAGTCTGGGGACAGTTTGTTAAATGAATGAATGAATGAATGAATGACAGCTTAAGCAACTCACTGGTAAAATCACTTCAGCCACTCACCCACTCTACCCTCCCTTTGAAGATGACAGGTTCACAGCTGATGCTTTAGTTGACCAAAGGAAACCAGAGACTTTATCAAGGCTTTCCCAGAATGTCAAAGGGAAAGAGATGAATGTGTCTGCAAATACAGTGACGCAAATACAGCTCTGCATGGACAGCGCCTGCTAACACATCCAGTAAAGGTCACCAGGGCTACCAGGAAACCCATCAGTATTCCAAAGCCACGGAAGCTACAGTCTCAGAATTTGAGAATTGCTGTTGCTAACAAGCGCAGGAGAGTCCTGAGCAGGTGGGAGATTGAATCCAGGCTGCCACTCTGGCCGGGGTCTGGGGACACGGGCGTAGGTGAGATCAAGGTTCAAGTATCTACTGTTCTTTTTCTGGGGGCCCAGTTATCAAGGTGCCCCCTATATTATAACGCCTAAAGCCTCCTCAGCTTCCGGTCTGAGAATGACTTACCGGCTGCACGGGGCTAAATGGGGACCCCTAGACTAGGCATTTGAGCCCAGGGAAATGAGAAAGGTCAGGCCAGGGGGGGAGCGTCCACTCTACCTCTCCCCTAACTCAGAAGTCACTGACTGAAGCCATTACCACGGTA